ATATATATTAATATATGTAATATATATATATTAATATATGTAGTATATATATATTAATATATGTATATCGATATTTAGCTGTATGTTTCTATTTGCAACGAAAAATAGTAACAGTGTTTCGATCGCTATGATTTTGATTCGCTTATCAGCAGTATTACTCGTGTCAAAAAGAATTTTTAATTTTCTAAGATATAACAACAGCGATAGGGTCGGATATATTTACCAGTGTACTATTTCACCGATCAACAGGCTTACGGAGTATTGGCCCAAATTCTTTGTACGGACTCCGGTCGCATGAGCGAGTATTTGATGTGCACGCAGGAATATCATATTGGTGCATCTCCTTCCCGGGGTTTGAAAGTATATTCTGCGAAACAAATAAATTAGGGTCGTAGAGTACAGTCAAATATATATTGTGTGGATGGCATTGCTTTAAGTTGTAAATACTGTAAACGTGATGAACCAACTACATATACAATCTAGAGACTAACGTGCATAAAGTGAACTGTTGATATAAAATAATAATAATTCAAAAGCTAGTTTCTATTACTTTATAACATATGGTGTCTATATGTACATTTGTGCGTCACTCTATTTGCGACTGCATCACAGTACTGGCCTGACTGATTCACACAGCATACATGGCTTAGGTTGAAGTTCCGTGGGCGGTATCTACCACATCATGGACATTCACAGCGGCCTGCTCAACCGCGTCCAATGCTAACTCAATCTCTCTAGCAAGGTTCTTGTCGTGTACATCCTGGATAGCACTACGGATGTTCGACACCCGTCCCTCAGTCTGCTGATCCAGAATAAAGGCCTCACTATTAGCACCGTTCATCACACTCTGTCTCGCCACAGAGCTACGTCTAGCCGCAGTAGAGCTGCGTGCCTCGGACAAGCCAGTAGTGGGATCCCGCACCACCTGTGACATCTGCGACGCACGAGCAGCAACTGACGAACGTGCACCAGGTGCTGACTTGGGGTTCAAGGCCAAATGCTGGACATCCGCACGCATTGTGCGAAGTTCAGAGAGAATCTCACCGAATTCGCCCTCCAATTTGGGGTCGGCTTTGGTGGCCTTCTCAACAGATTCGATGGCAGCATCGATCTTGCGGATAAACAACCTGTTCTCAACCACGGCAATACTCTTGCGGGCTTGAGGCATGTCGGTGACAGTGTTGGCGTGCTTCATGTTGATGGCCGCACCAGACACTGAGCCAAAGATATCGAACTTGTATAGAATGTAATAGCCGAGCACCTTGCAGGCATCCTGAATGAACCAGAAAACGATGCAATAAGCCCAGATGATCAACGGCCACCATTTGAAGTCGGCACGGACAAGACCTTCGATAGGAACCTCGTCCATATCTCCGTTGGGCAGGAAACAGGCCAGAAGGGTAGACAGCAGCAGAGATGCTGAGGCACCACAAAGCAAGGCAGTTCCTGGTGCTTGTGACCAGAAGGGACCGGGGTAGGTACGAGATGAGAACAAGGTCAAGAAATCAGAAACTGAAATCTTCAGGTACATGGAGATGGTGATCTGTCCGTAGTACAAACCAGGTAAACCAATAGACTGTACAACACCATTTAGATTCCAGGAGTCCAACATGAGCCAAAGAAGGAGCAGTGATGAACCGCAAGCAACCGCACCGAGCACAATAGACATGGTCCATAGCACCTTGAGGTTCCACTTGTCGGGACGCTTGTTGGGGATAGCCTTATCATAACCGATGGAGATCAGAGTACCATCGTTAAGAACGGTAATAAGAAGCAGCAGTAGCACGGGGACCTGGAAGAAATAAGGCCACTCCTCGTACAAATCGGGATCACCACCTCCAGCCGTAAGGCCTTCGGGACTGGGTTCGTACTCTTCGGGTCGGAAGGCGAACACTTCAATCCAGAAGAAGAACAACAGCTGAAGTGTGGCGGCGATACGGTAGTTGATGAAGGCTTGGATACGCTTGAAGATTTGACGTGCCATGATGATAGCTGTGATGACTACACTCAAACCCTCGCCTGTAAGCACAATATCAGCAGCAGCACGAGCGGCATCGGTGGCACCGGCGACGGCAATACCGATATCAGCACGCTTCAAAGCGGGTGCATCGTTGACTCCATCACCAGTCATACCTGTGGCAAAACCTTGCTGACGGAAAGCCTCGACAAGCAAGAACTTGTGCTCGGGGAACACCTCAGCGAAACCATCAGCTTCTAGGATACGATCACCAAGGATCTTACCCAGATTCTTGGGTGGATCACCGTTCTCGTCCAACGGAGGGATACCCTCAGTTCCCTGCACGTTAGTACCCATACCTAACTGGCGACAGGTCTCTTTCGCGATGACTCCATGATCTCCGGTGATCATCTTAACATCTACACCAAGTTCCATAGCACGCTCAATTGTCTCCTTTGTGTCGGGACGAGGAGGATCCAAGAAAGTCAGAATACCCAACATGATCCACTCGTCACTGTCATCTTTGGTCTTGGCCACAGCTAGCGCACGAATACCACGAGTTGCAAGTTCGTTCACTTTCTCGGCAACCATATCCTTAACCTTTTGGTTTTCGGGAGTGTCACTGAGCAACTTGGCGATAATCTGAGGCGCACCCTTCGTAGTTTTGAATATCTTACCGTCGGGGCCCTTGAGCGTACCTTCGGTTCTCTTGATAGACGGGTCGAAAGGTAAGAAATCAATCTGCTCATACTGCTCCAGACTATCTAGATCTGCGGAACCAAGAGTCAAAGTATCCAAAGCATCACGAGGAGGCTCCTTCCACTTAGCGGCGAGGGCAGCAGCTTGCAATACAGTGTACTGATTCTGATCGGGAGAATAGGTGGGGCAATCGTCTTGGATAACCATTTTGTTGAGCGTGAGTGTACCAGTCTTGTCGGAACAAAGAATATTCATACCGGCCATACCCTCGATAGCTTGTAAGTTCGACACAATAGCACCGTGCTCGGATAGAGCACGAGAACCAATGGCAAGTGTGGCCGTGGTCACGATTTCAATGGCAATGGGGATAGAGGCAACCAGTACAACTACAGTGAACGAGATAGACTCCTTGAAATCTTGTCCCATAACCATTAAGAAGATGAACGCAGAAACACAGAGTGTGACGGACAGCCCGACCAGGATAACCATGAGCCGCAGAAGGATTTTTTGCAAACTACCCAATTCATTACCGGTGTTCAACATAGCAGCGGTCTTTCCGAAGAAAGTGTTCATTCCAGTGCTGCACACAGTGGCCTCGACCTCGCCACGAGTGGCAGTGGATCCCATTTTGGGTTGATCACCATCTTTCATGGTCACGGGCAGAGACTCTCCTGTAAGCGCAGACTGATCCACTTCAAGACGACCCTTGTTGATAGCACAATCAGCTGGGATGGCGGAACCAGCACCTAGGAGTGCTAGATCACCAGGTACAACACCACCAGCATCAATGTTCTGCCACTTATCGTCACGCTTGACTGTCGCCATGGGCTTGAGCGATGCTTTAAGGGCGGCGATGGCATTGCCAGCCTTAGTAATCTCGTACCAACCGATGGTAGCGTTGATAAATTGGATGGCCAGAAGAACTCCCATATCGGGCCAATTCTGAATGGCAGCTTCGATGATGATAGCGATCCAGATCATGATGGGCATGGGAGCGTATAACTGCATAAGGAAAACCTTCCAAGAGGGGATGGTTTCTTCAATTAACTCATTGCGTCCCCATTGCGCCAGCAGGTTTTCTGCCTCCGCAGAGGTGAGACCTTTGGAGGGGTAGAAATCGGGTAGGGCATCACCCACTAGATCACCTTTCTCTTCCAAGTCGACGGTCGAGTCTTTGGTTTCTACACCCATTGTGATTTAGTAGTGCGCGGCGTTAGCGCGAACACAAAGGTTTATGGAGGTAGCTGTCAATTGTATATCTTATTGAATAACCCGCACCACGACTAATCAAGTTATATACTTGTGCGTATGTGAATGTCTGAGGCACTTAGTTCTCACTGCTTCTAATGAGTTGTAACATTGTCGTGGTAAAACACATAAGCATTTAAATATCGTCGAGACTTGAAAATGAGCGTAATAAGCTCAATTATTTGGGAATCGACAAATTTGGGATGTTCTTAATAATAAAATTGGTTGTTCTGCTTATTTTTTTTCATTTTTTTTAAGGGTTGCTGTTATAGGCTTATACGTAGCATCAGGTGCCATTGTGGTAAAATTCGCCATTCCGCAATTATTATTGCTATAAAATATAAAAAACAGTACTGTATCCAGCATTATTCAGTATGTATTTATGTGATATTTTTTGAGAAGGCTATGTATTTATCCACTCTCTAGCACCCCAGCTGTCAGTATTTATGTAAAAAAAAAATAATTTACAAGTAAACAACTTCACAACAAACAAAAAGAGAGAGAAAGAGAGAGTCTTTTAATAGAGAGAATATGTAGTAAAAGTAAATAAATACAAATGTTTAGTATTTTAGTACAAAACAATAAAAGGCGTAGTAAATATATAGTACTGAGTATTTATGTACCGAGCACCGAGTACCGAGTACCGACTGTAGTAGTTTAAAAAAAATAAAATGTATATCTGTAAATATACTAAAAAGATAGCCTCACGGCCCACTGCTTCACAAGAGTTCACGGCGGCTTCACGCCCTACTCACAGGGTCCGTTAGTAAGGGTAAATAAATAAATAGGAAGTTTTTAGTTGTTGTTTTGAAGAAAAACAGAATCGGTACTCGGTAGAGTAGAAATTTATTTTATACGGCAGAAATCATCAGCATTTTGATATTTTCATTGTTTCTCGGCGTTTCATTCATCGCGGAGTCGCAGACTCCCAATTCGGAATCGGTAACTCCATTGTTCAACGAACCAACAAGGATTGAGGTACTCTTCCCAAAACTTACCATATATGGTTATAAAAATACTGCCGTGAGACGTGAGCAGTTGAGCACTAAGCAGGATCACAGGACCCAGGACAAAACCTCCATTGATTACACACCACCATTCATTTAATTGTAATAACCAACGATACGGTAGAAAAAGATAATATAAATGTAATATAATTGAACCTCTTCATCTCAATGGCTAGTCAATAGATTACTGAGAACGACGTAGGCCTTTAAATATGTCCAAATGTTAATGAGAAGAGTAAGTCCAAAAAAAAAAAGATGAATTAAGGAGTTCCTGATTTTTTAAAAAGGGTTAGCGGGTATACTAAAAATTAGGAATTAGAAATCCTACGATTCGTAGGATCTTACGCTGGGTACCCTTTCCTACTAGTACAATTTTTTTGACGACTTTTGGCTGCTCTCTCGTATGAAATTCTACGAATGGTAGAATTTTCCCGCGGTACTATGTAGTCATATGATTCATGCCAAATAAAATGGTTTCCTCAATTTTTCAAAACAATAGAGGACATTTTGCCAGATATTTATTAGGTATCAACTTCACAGGTCTGAAGGAGTTCAGGAGTCCAGGTCTCACCAGGAGTCCGTGAGTCCAGGGTACAGCTAACTTATGTCTGGAGCATGAAGGTTGTATTCGTCCAACCAGCGACTTGGTTAGGAATATCAATAACAAGTTTCTCTATATACGGATTGGTGAAGTTATGATTTTTTAGATACACTGGATTGAGCTCTGTATTCGAGGCGGGCTAATTTGAGCCACTGGGACAATTTGTACAGGAGTAAAAAAAGGGGTCTTAACAATGTATGCCTAAAATAGGAATTTGGGATGCGCCAAATGACGCATGTGAACTACAATGGAACGTGCATCACTCAATTCTGGTGGGCTTTCCGCATACACAATTTAAAAGACCATATTTTACAGACGCGGATTGCGGGCTGCATACAGTGCATAGTCTCGCTCTGGATTGTCTGAATAATAGCCTGGTATCAGGCTGTGCACATGGGTTGGCAATCGGCATCGTAGTATCATGGGCAACCACTATGTCTCGTTATATGGATGAAGTTGCAGTACAGCTGAGAGCATATCATCACTGCATATGTACGCTGGTCATTCAATTCTACAGCCATTGTGTATTCTCGTACATATCATAAATCAATAATAAAGCATTCGTTCTACATGCATATCTACTCCAAATTTCACTGAAACAGTGTATAAACATAAAAACACTTTTCAGCGTACATATATATATTTTTAAAAGCATCCTCAATACAAAGATGGGGATTCGAGACCTACCTACGCGAAAGATGAGGTGATTTATTGTAGGACTCTTGCATATTAATATTTTTTATAATACTTGTGCTTAATGACGCACTTTTCAATGATTTCGTCTCTTATTATGCCAAATGCGATTATATATATTTA